ATTTAGAGTTGGAGAAGACTGAAAGAAGAAAAGAGAAGAAATGGGGATACTGGAAATTGCTACAGCAAACAGTTTTATGCTATCCTAATTCTATACAGATTCAGTTTCTAGGCATGGCGTATTTCTTTGTAGATACTAAGGCCTCCTCCTCCTTAGTTTAATTGATATTCTTTTAGCATAGTTTTAAAATTAGTTCGGACAGCACAAAATGCTGCAGAAAATAAAGACTAGCAATACTTGGGTTAGGAAATTACGAATCAATGATACTGAATAAATTGAGATGATTTGGGATTGCTTGTTTTTATCTGAGAAGTACTGCTATACTACAAGCTGTTTTGCTTTGAATTCATGATTCAAGTAACTAGATTTTGAAAATGTTTTGTCTTGAATTTAGGACTTGATAAAATTGAATTTCTTCAGAGGCATGAAAACCAAGAGATCTACCAAAAGGCTTTTGAACTCATAGAACATTACTTTGGTGTCGAAGAAGAGGACTCCAGTATTGCACCTCAGGTGGATGAAAGTCAGCAGCAGTTTGTGTTTCAACAGCAGGAGGCTCCAATGGAGGGGTTTCAGCTGTAAATTACTGACGTGAAGACAAGCATAAAATGTAAACACTTGTAGGGTTTTGTTGTTGGGTTTTTTTTCCCCAGAGGTCTTTTCTTTATGGCCAAAGTTAGAGGAAACATTGAATATGTTTTGCAGAAATAGATGAAGCAGCAGCTCATGCACTTTTATATATTGTGTTAGGTACAACTGTTCTTTGTTTTGTATTTGTGTTTTTCATTATCTCTTATGTACAGAAAACAACTGTGAGTAATCATGTCTAAAGTAAAGCATTAAATGTGATTTAACAAGAACTGTTAAGCTAAGACTTGGTAGGATATTAGATAGTGGTTCTGAATTTCTCATGTAGTCTCAAACTGCATATCAGCAATACAGTTACTGACAGTTGCATTTTTGGCAGTAGGCTTGACTTGCCCAGTCTCTATCAAATCTACCTCTTGTATTGAAGCAAAAGCATTGCTTCAGAACTAAGGCATGAAATAAAGATGAGCTTGTAAGAAGCTGAATTGGAATGTGAAAAATATTTATTTAAATTGTGAAACTTTTATGCATTACTTACTTTACAACACACTGTTGGAATTTATTTATAAAATGTATTTAAAGACATAATAGATATACATATATAATGCTAATTACCTAATATAATATTGAATATATGAAAAAAACTGAATTACGTGTGAAGAGGACTATTTCAGAGGTTTTCAAATTGGAATCAGCAGAGAGCGTGCTGGTCATGTGATGTTGGCTCTGAAATTAAAGCTGCTAAATGGCATTAAAAGTCAGCCACAAATGCAGTACTTTGCAGTGGAAGCAGTTGCTGTAGTTACCACAGGAATGCTGCGATTATGAATGACAGAGACGGTGGTTTGCACAAATCACCAAGCAGATGGTTTACAGCTGTCTCCTGTCAAAATGTGGTAACACCACTTTAGTTTGAGAAACATTGCAATGTTTGCCTTTCTAGTGAGGTAGCTTCTTAAAGTTTAGACAGCAGGTGTTATTTTTTTGACCAAATACACTACCACCACTTGAATTGTTCTTTAAGTTCACTAACTTGGTTTTCTTTTGGTAAGATAGTAGAAGTACTGCAGTGAAGAATGAATAGTGAATCACTCCTTTCCAGTTGAAGGAGAAGTTTGTTGTACTGTAAATAGCATTAAGTATGTGGACACCAAAACTAACTAGAAGTTATTGTCATTTAAATATTTAGGCTCTACAATATATGGTGTTTGCTGTTAAACACTAAAAGAAATAGAATTCTGATATTTAGATTAACAATTTTGAATACAGAAAAATGTATGTTCTGCTTCGACTTGCATATAAGTAGTGTTTCTGGTGTATTAGTAGTATATCTCATTTGTAGAAATTAATACTTTGGGTTAACTCTGAAGTACGATTATTTTTTATTACCTGTACTTAATGTATTAACATCAAACTCTTGGGTTAAGTGAAATCCTTGACATGCGAGAGCATTTCATGCTTCATAAAAAGCTGCAGTTTTCAAATTACTTACCCCACGGCACTGTGCTTGTCACTAAACAATACTTTATGCACTGAAAAATACAGGTTAAAGGTGGTATAATTTACAGTACCATTTTATATTTAGAATTTTTTTTACGTGCAAGTTAAGTTTCTTAGATGTTTCACTTTGATGTTGCAGCAATATATACTATATTGTAATTGAATGTGGGACTTGAAGTGGATTTTCTAAGATTAATGGTCAGTTTTGACTAAGATGTAACTGGGAGGGAAGAAAACTTTTTGAAGTCTTTTTAGTGGGAGATAGAAGTGTAAGAAGTGTATATAGGAGTGCTGTTACTTTATGAACTCTGAATAATGAAGATATTTTAGCAAATGACACTTTAAACCTAGATTTGTACAGCATACAACAGTTTTGAATAGTGTGATAATATTGAGTACAGCTGCCAAATTTTCATACGATGTTAGATGATTGTATTTGTGCCCTTTTTACTCTCATAGTTTTAGGTTTTCATACACTGACCTTCCTTCTTTCCCCACCCACCCCATCTGTTGAAAGTACAGGGTAACAATCATGGAAATCCACCAGGATTACTAGTAAATGCTGAATTTCAATGTTGTCCTAGTGTGAGAAAATTATTCAGGTAACAGGGTATTCCGTTGTTTCTAACAACCTTGTTTTGATAGCATAACCAGCCGTGCCTGCTTTTTATTTGGGGAACCCTGTAAAAACTGCATTTATAAGCCTCTCTAATTTAAACCAAATCTGAATTATAAAAATCTTGATTAAAAGACTTGAAAATGAAGAAAAGAGGGGACATTTAAAGTATTATATTTGTTTTGAAAGAATGTCTTCAGTTTTGTGGATATATTATTCTATATGTATGAACAGTTAGTGACTGCACTTTATGCATTTAGATAAACTATTTCATGCCTCTGATACATTTAAATGTAACAGTTTAAGAGGGAACTAAAATTGATGGACTTTAGCTAATGAAAATCATTATTTAAACTCAACATTTGGTTTACCCTAAAAATGTTAAAAAATAATAATGAAAATTAAAGGATAATCGTACAGGATGGCCTCTCCTATTTTATCACTGGGTTTACATCACACTTTATTAAAAGCACATAGATGAACAATATAAAACCAGAGATGATGACTTAAGGTCAGCTCTGGTGTAGTCATTTGCAGGCAGGGATGTGAATATGATGATGTTGCCTGAACAGATGAAACCAGTGTAGAGAGAGAAAAAAAAAAAAACAAAAAAAAACCCACCACAAAACAAAAACAACAAAGGAACTGAGAGAAGAAAATCTCTTGAAGTTTGGTGTTTTATATGAAATCTGAAGTGCCCCATCAGTTACAGAATCTGTTTAAAAATACAGGCTTTGGGGGTTTGTGGGTTTGGTTTTAATTAAAAGGGTACCATTTGTTCTGCTTAAATGTGAATACTAACTAGCTAATCTATGCAACTATGCAAAGCATAAGATTTTTTTTTTTTTCAGTTCCCTACTCTTGATACACTGAATCATATCTAATTTTTTCATCATTGCACTTTTGTCTGAGGACTGGTTCATACAGCTTTTTAATTTTCTAGTATTTGCTTTAAATGCTGTTGCTAGCAGCAATCGGAAAATAGTAATAATGTTGGCACAGAAGTAAGTTAGCTGTAGAACAAGTTTGCAACTGGAAAATATTTATTGTCGGGTCTGTCTTTAAAAAACAATAAAATAGAAAAGATGCACTATTGTCTTTCCTCCATGGTTTGTTCTCAGTTGGTTTAAATTTATTAAATTGTACAACTGAGGATTTTTGTAATAGGTCTGCCAATTGATATGTGAAGTTTAACTGTGACTGAAATCTGGAATGAAAAATTTCAGTTTCTTATGGCACAATATCTTCATATAATGTGTGGAAACTAAAACACCTATACTAACTTCAGATAGTAATAGTGCATCTTTAAATCCAGGCCGAAGGCCCATTACTGTAACAAAACACATATGAGTAGTATGCAATATTATGGAATGTTGAATCTCCAAATACCATACAGAAACCAATAAAACCTATTTTACAGATGTTTATTGTATTTATTTAGTGGTTCAATAAGTGTGGCTTCTTAAACTAGAAAACACAAATGCCATTTTGAATACATCAGTGAGTCAAATGGATTCAAACTGGCTCATTTGTGCACTGTACAACTATGCACCGTCACCAGACAGAAAACTTTCTGGTTTAAATACGTTTTGTAAATATCTAACCAAATATATACTTGTAGGATAATCACAGACCTGTCTTTGGCTGCAAAACTGACCATTTCTTTGGGGATTCCCATGAAGTTTCCATGGACTTGAGAATTTGTGGGATTATCGGGCCGTTTCCCCTCCCCTGGCTTCTCCAAACCTCTTCGCAGCGTTGAAGATCTGTGATATTTTGACTGAGTGCAGCTTGTTCTTCATGTAGAATTGCAAAAGTGAACTGCATAAGTCTCCTTATTTTTGCAGTTTTCATACTTTCACTTCACTGCTGCCTGGTCTTTTGCTGTATTTCACCTTTCATTGAAAAATCCAACTAGTTTTCTGTAAGGCACTTCTATCTGTATAACAGAGCTCAAGATCAAGCCCAAAAGAAAGGTTTTAAGACAGTGGAAACTTGGTTCCTCCCCCCGCCCCCCATACCTGACATTCTTAGGAAACTACCTCACCTCCTTTGAAATTAATTACTGCTTTTAATCATGTGCAAAACATTCTAACTAATTTTAATTATATGCAAAAAGTATATTGAGTATCTCTCTGATAAGGGACCCTCCCTTTCTTTCTGTAGTTGTGTAACTACCCTTCTTGGCTCCAGTCTGTCCAACACTACAGTTACCCATTTATTGATGAAATTCACTAATCGCTTTCGGCAATGGTTAACTTTCCTCCTACAAGGACATTTGGCATTTCATATGAAGTTACTTTGTCTTCGACTCCGCTGCTAGTGCAGCCTCTTCCCGCCACTTGGCCTTCTTTGCCAAGTTCCAGCTTGTTAAGGACTCGTGACGCGCAGCAGCCTGCAGAAGCAAAACATCTGCTTCAGAGCAGTGTGGTAGGAGGAACGATACACCTCGGGGAAAGCCACCCAATCTCGGGAACGGCCGGCACCTACTTAGGCCCCAGGGGTGACCAGGACATAGGTTAGCTAAAATCAGGGTGGGTGTAAGTTGCTGCTGTTCAGGTTTGTCTGCTTTTCACAGAATGCCATCATTTGCTACGTGATAACCAGCTAGCGGTGTGCTCACCTTTTTAGCTGAAGCAATCACTGCAAAACAGGCAACGACGGAGAGTCCGATCATGATGTAACAGGCTTTAACTCGAGCTTTGTTCCTTGCCCTGTCCAGCATCTCCGGCCTGCAATTACAGTTACTGAGTTGTATCATTACAAAATTGTGAAGTATCTCTTCTTCAAAGCATCGCAGGCATAATATCACCATTGACAAATAAAACCAGAATTAGCTCCTGAAACAAACACCTTCAGCTTGCCGTGACTGGTTGTGTACCACCCAAGAACTTTGCGTTTTCTGACCCTAATGCATTGCCAGTGGAAAAGGAACATTTAATGAATTTAAGCTGAATTTTCAAGCTGGAAAAAAAAATTGCTCACACAATAAATATTTGCACATAAATACTTGGGGTAAATACACCAGAAGTTGTACCTTGAGCTCTGTTTAAATGTACTAAGTTTGAAGGGGTTTTATCTACTTCAAACAGATGGAGAAGCATATGCAACGTCAACCAGATGAGGTGAAAGTGAGTTCCTCTCATTCAAAATTAACTTTACAAATTAATTGCTGTCACATTACTTGTTTAGATGGCATCCTGTATACTGTAGGCTAGGAGCTTGGATAGGTGATTAAAACAGAGTTTGTACCGTTACGAGTTAGAGTTTTTAGTTCTCTAGAAATGCAGCAGCTTTCTTTAAAGTGGGCAGCTGATGTCAGCCTTCTCACAGGAACACACGCCTAAACAAGAACAATCTACGTAACTATTTTTGCTGGTCATCAAAGACAAAACTAATGAAACTTCTGCCCCGTGTTTGGCAGTAGTTGCTGCAAGAGAGGCATTGTACGGTGCGGTGAGCTCCATCGGTTCAGCTCCCATTTCCATCCTCCTCCCTTGTGCGAAGCAGCGGCAGGCTGCGTACCCCTGGGAACCAGCAGTACGGGAAATCTCCGTATCACTCAAATTTGTCTCAAAACTCTCAGCTAAGTCATTTTCTGAGTCAGACACTATACTTGGGAGTACTGGGTTTTGGATGTTCATTGTAATGCTGGCTGTACGCTATTTTCCTTTTATAAATCACATGGGAATGCTTTATATGTATAAACATATTCATAAGATACAGAATATAAATATACATTATATATATGTCTAAAACCATAACTATATGTAAAAAGGATAGTTGCATAAAAACTTGATTTTATGTTGTGAATAAAGACCTTGTAATGATCTCTCTCCCCCAAAACACCTTTAGCTTTACTTTAAAGAGGATGAGTGGTGGGATGGGGCAGAGCCGGAGTTTTTACAGGGGGAGTTCTGCCCGTGGAAGTGTGTACCGAGGCTGAGGGCTGCAGTGCTGCTCTCGAAGGCTTAATGCAGCAGAAGAGGGCAAATCTGATGGGCGGCTATGCCATACTACTCCCTTCCTGGCCAACTCACGCATACGCACACATGTTGTACGTGTCACGTTTCTTGCCGATGACTGACACTACCCGCAGTTCTAAATAACTGCTTTTCTTTGGTACAATGGTAAATATCGTCTTTAAAACAAACCGCACATCAGACCATCACATAAAATCATTAATCCACTAATCCATTTGTAGCAACAAAAGCAAAACCATAAATGTTATTAGTCTGGCTTATTAGCCTAATCATATTCCACAATGCGCTAATTGAAACTCTTCTGAAGCAGATTTTCACTTTCTGCCTCTGCTTTAAGGAGAACAGACCTGATTATATTCTTCCCTAATTGCACATTAGGGCCTTTGCTACTTAAGCCTTAATCAAGACTCTGGGTAAACCTCTGCTGAAGCAAATAACAGCTGTTTTAAAAAGAAAAAACAAACCGCAAACCCCCAACAACCTTGAATAAGGACTGCAGATTTCACCCTTAGTACAAATGCTCTTCAGCAGCAATATTGTGCTCACAGGTAACAGTAACTCACAATTTTGTTTTGTTTTGTTTTGTTTTTTAAAGTTAAAGCAGTGACACAGTTCAGCTTCAATGTCTCACAATCAACAACTTCTACCATATTACTATTTGTGATCTTACAGTTCTAAAAAGACTTTGCCCACCCAGAAAGTCCACAGTGGTGACACGCACTTGGCAGGCCAACTACTGCACAGAAACGAGTGGTGTGTGTATGTGTATGGACTGGCAAACGTGTGTGTCTTTATAAACACCTCCCAATAACTTGAATAGCTTTCAGAGCTTCCGAGACCTGTCTGAACCTTCCTCTAGGGAAGACTGTGGGACTAACATGGTGCAAGAGAGGTGGGACCCTTTAGAAAGCCACTGTCCAGCTCAGCAAATGCCAGTGAAACTGTGGGGAACCAAGAGGACCAGGCAGAGGATGTACCTGTTGCTTGGCACACCTCGGCACACTGCTGACGCGCAGCGTACCATCCAAGGCAGGAACACGATGCGATGATAAAAAGCAGTGTCTTGGGGAGAGACATCTAACACGCTATCGAACATCCTAAGAAAAAGGCAGCACTTGGCATTAGAGGGGTTTTGTGTGTTTAGTGACTGACTCCCTTGGAGGATGCTAACTTTCAGCGAGTCAGAGCACTGCAGAATCAGCGCGGTTTGGGTGGGAAGGGACCTTCAAAGATCATCCAGTCCAGTGGGTCAACAAGAATGGGAGGCTATGGCTATGTCAAGGACTTGATTTTCCTTGGTGGGGGATGTTTCTCTCATAACCTCCTTCTCTATTTTTCCTCAAATTCTATAAGAAATCATAATTTGTTGGAGGTAATCATTCAGTGACAGTCAGCTTCCTTAGAACTGTTTATGGGAGCTATAAACAGAAAATATTGTTTACCAATAACATCCCTCTCTGATTGCACATTAGGAATAAACAAAATAAACAACCCAGTATATAAATGTAACTGAGACTATCTAATCAGATGGATCCAGTTCTTAATCCCAGGCTCTGGGGACTCCAGTAAGGAACATTTTTTCTTCTTAACCTCTAACCAGGACAGGAAATTCTCTTGCCCTCTAACTTGTTTCCAAGATTTCAGTGTTGAAAAACTGACTGGTTCAAACTCTGCAGAAAAGCTTTAGATCAGGATCACGCCACCGCTTTCCCTTCAGCTCCACATTCCCCTCGGACAAGAGCTGCGCACTTACGGGATCCTCGGAGGAATTTCTTCTTCAGTCTTGAAACGTCCAGTCCAGAGGAGGATTTTTTTGTCAAACTTTGAAGGTTTGTAACTTGCAACCACCTTGTGAGCCTGCTCAGCTTAAAGATGAGGAAAAAAACACTTTGTCAAACCATGCGCTAAGAGTGAATGAATGATGGGTGGTAGCAACGGTTGGAAGGGGAAAACCCCTGTCCAGCCTGATCGCTGGAAGAGTAACCCAGAGATTAAACTTCCAGCTCTCTGCTGGGCAGCGTTATCCCTGCACAGTCTCCTGAGCACTCCCGCATGCAATGAGTGTCTCTGAGGCTCTGGTTTGACCTCCCCGCAGCCTGTGGGTGTGGGGTACCCAACCTGGCAGAAGCACACCTGG